AATAAAAAAAAAACACTAATTTAATGTTAAAGAGAAAAACTCCCTCCCTCGGGGCCCTGCCACTGTAACTTCAAGTGGTGCTACTCCAGCTTTGCTAGTATCCACAGTAAAGACCTGAGGAATTCTGGCACGCACAGCTGTCCCCAAACCTGGTCCTGCCACTTTCACCTTGCTGGGGTCAATGACATCTTTTACAGGAACTTTAAATGGGCTACCTACCAATAAAAAAATAGGAGGAAAGAGTATTAGGTATGCTCACTGCCTTGAGTTATTTATAAAAATAATAAAGGTGGGATAAAAAATCTAAAATGAAAACAAAAACAAAGTATTAGACAACAATAAACATGCTTAAGCAATGTAATGCAAAACAAATGCATTATAACTTCTGAAGATAAATCATCAGCCACCTTCTCCGTAGCACAGCTCAACGCACGCTGCTTTCTAAGTCATAAGTGATGCCTATCCTGATAATTCAGAGTTGTATGCATTTAAAATTGTGTTGCAGTTTAGATTCAATTTTATATTGTGCAGGAGATGCTCAACCAAAATCAGCTTAATGGCCCTGACCAAAAAGAATGTTCAGGGGAAAAACTGTTAGAAAATTTGCTAATTGACTTCAGTCACCAAGAAAACTCAATATGACTGGAATTCAAAACTACATAGAAGCATTAGGAATAACTTCAATGGATAGACTGGTGACGGGGGTGGGTGAGAGCAAAAACAAGAGAGTTCAAAATAAAGTTGGACAAATTAAGAGTGTAGATTATGGAGTGAAAAACAAAAACCTAAGGATAAATGAAGGCAGGCTGAAGGAAAATGAAGACACAGGAAACTGAGGTAAAATGGAGGAGGCTGAAGAAATCTCAAGATCAGGAAAGTATTATTATACAATCATGAGCAGATGGGACAGGAAAGCTACTGCAGTTGGCCTGTGTAAACTCAATCCTGCTGTAGATTAAAAATCAAAGAGGTGTGATGGAGACAGTACAATAAAATGTAAACAAAAGTTCATGTAGAGTCTAATAAACGTATGCACTGTTATAAGGAACAAAGTGAATAGATGACAGCAGTTTCGACTGAAGAACAAAGATAAACTAACTTACTAACATCTATGGAATGATTTACAATTTAGTTTCATCAGATTCTAACACTGCCAGTTATTAAAGACTTATCACTGTTCTGAGTTTTTAGATTTCCTTCAAATAATTATTCTTGTTCAGGATGTTGATAAAAGCACTCATCACATTTTAGGGTATTATAAAACTGGATATTGGTAAAACAGGGGAAGTATTACATTCACTGACAGTATCTCTAGCTGCCCAAAATCAATTAAAACATATCATCATTACTGTAAGGGTGATTTATCAATTTGCCTAGAATTCTGGAAGATCAGCATTTTCTGCCTAGATAGTATGTTCTATTGGGAACTTTTAGCTCCCAACATATTTCAATATTTTCCCAAGTTCCATTATCAGTGCTTCAAATGTCCTTTGGCAAGAAGAACAATTCATAGCCTTTTCATTTTCCATTCTTATAATGCAGGAATAGCCTTACCAGGAACATGTTCACCCCCATAAGTTATGTTGACATCATAATCTCCTGGTACATATGGAATATATTCTGCACTACAGCTGCCATCCTTGTTATCTTTACAGCTTATTTTAGATTCTGAAGGTCCTTCAACCGTTATTCCAAGGCCACCAATTCCAGCCCCTCTGCAAAAATAAAGAAAAGTTAGTATGCTTATATTAATTACCAACATCATTTTACCTTAAGGACTGCTATGTTAGGCTACTTGTGCATTGGATCATTGCTATTAATTGTGCCATGCTACTGCACTTTGTCACACAGCAACTGTTGTTTAGGAAGCATAATAAAGACTGTCTGGGACAGAGACACCTCAGTTGACTAAAGGTTTTTTCCCCCATGCTCAGACTCTGATTAAGGTTGGGGAATGTTGAAATCTTAGGTGATGACACAAGTTGGCAGGCATACATCAGATAATAACTTCAAGGGGTGTGGCTGTAGGTTGTTAGGAACTATATTGCATCTTTTATTACTCATCATTAAACTTACAGCAACGCCCAAAAGAGCTCTGAACTGTCTTGGGATATTTGCACACAGTCCATGGCATCTCCCTGCTAAGCAGCTAGTACCAAGAAGAGACTGGCAAGTGTTCACAATGCTATTTCATGCCTCTACTTCCTAAAGTATTTTTAGATGGTTATGTGCAATGTTACACAGAGACAGATCAGCTAGTATGGCTTTATTCTGCATGGTAATTCAGAGTATACTACACCCTTTTTCAACCTGTCACCCTTCAATTTCCATCACTTCCAGACAGCATGGCTACTGGTACTCAAAAGTCTTATATGTTCATAATATTTACCGAGTAACAACAGTAAATGGGTTGGGTTTATTTGTGAAGCCTTCTTGTAACCCAGTTCCTTGGGCCACAACACGTGAAGGATGACATCCTTCTGTGACATCAACTCTGAATGGACTATTTGGAACAGGAACATCATCATAAGTCACTTCAACTGTATGAGGACCTGTAAGTAAAAGGTGTACCTTTATGGACAGGCTCTGTGAAGCTTAATGTGGCAATACATCACATATTTATTAACTAAATATGCAGTTGATTCATACCCACCTTTCTACTCTTTTTAAATTATTATTTAATATCTTTATTTTGTAACAAAACAATCTTTAATCTTAAAAAAAGAGAAAAAAATTAAAAATACAAACTAAGAAAGAAAAGAAAAGAAAAAATCTATCTTATATTTTATACTTATCAATAGTCATGGTTTACCAATGAATTCACTATTATAATATGAACAATGCAAGATGTTATTGTAAGATACCACATAATCTCTGCCATAACAACACATATTGCTACATCCTTTGATTGACAGAAAATACTGCCTTTTCCAAAACAGACAGATCACACATTTACAACAACCATTCCTTGCCATTTGGAATAATATCACCTTTCAATGTCTTAATATAATTCTTTGTGCCGCTCCCCATGCTCAATGCAACCACAATTCCTGATAAACAGTCAAATTCCAACGCTTTGGTATATAATTCAACATTATATGAACATCATTAACATTTGAGACTGGCTTAATCACTGTACATCTCCCAGATTAAGGGAGGATTTTCAATCAAAGTCTTATTATTGCCATCTTTAAGCAGCAAGGCACTATACCAAGACGACATTGTTCATCTCTTTTAACCATGAAGCCAGACTAATCCTAGCCAATTTAATCAGCCGGGAGGGAAAAGGATCAAATAAGCAAGCTACAGTCTTTTTATCTCTATACACCCTATCCACATCTTCAAGATCTACAAGCCAAAAAGAATCCAAAATAATGGGACCAGAGTTTGCTGAGATTCTATCTCTATGACCTGCTCCAATGCTGGAGATCAAGTCAAGATAGATCCAATCACAAAAAATGACGCAACAGCTTTCTCCTTCCAATTTCCATAGGATGGAAAAGCCTTGCTAGTATGGATGCAATGGAGGCAGAGAGGTAAGCATACTTTGTTGCTTTCACTGCAGCTGAAATGCCTAGCCTTCAGACGGGCCTCACTCTCATTAAAGTAAATAACGTTATTCTATAATACAATCTATTTCCACTGCTTTCCTCCAGAATTAATAGTAGCAGGCAGTACTCACCTCTTTCAAATGGAGTAAACTCTACTGCATATGTGCCATCAGCATTGTCTTTGATGAGGCAATCTGTGGAAGCTCCAGAGGGATTTGCAATTTGGGCTTTGATATGGTCTCCACCAGTTTTGGTCAAGGGGCTAGCATCAACAGTAAAATCTGTTGTTGCCTCACGGAAGACATCTGCAAAGTAATTATTGTAACAGTGTCATTTGAACAAAGCTATGCTTTAGGTCCACATGTATCTATGCATGTTTTTATACAGAAATAGGTTCAAGTGCTCAAACACAGTAAGGATACTAAAGAGAGCTAAACTGTATAAAGCAATCATAATCTGTCTAGCACCTCCCCCCCCCCCACAATTTTGGTTAGAGACACTGTAGCAGTCACTTTCATCAAAATGCTTGAAAAACGAGGAAGCCATATAATTTTGTATCGTGAAAAGTACAAAGATTATGTTCTGTCACAGGCACATCCGAACACATTCTTTTTATCTTTACACATAGCACATATTGGTTAGGGTTTATTTGCAGCATTCCTATTAAACTAAAACAAACTTACCTTTCCCTTCAATTCCTGGTCCAAACACTTGAACCTTGCTTGTGTCTATGGCAGGATCAACTTTGACACGTGCCGGAAAATTTGGCACTGGTTCTCCACCATATTTCATCTTGAGTGTGTGTATCCCAGCGATAAGGGGCACGTATGTAACTGTATAAGTTCCATCTTTATTATCTTTAACCTCAACATCAGCTTTAGAACCAGAATCAGACACAGCTTCCATATCCAGTTTCCCAGGTCCAGCTTTTGAACAATCCACATTAAGCAATCCAGCTTCACCCACTTTGCCATGTTGAAGTCCAGGACCTGTGGCAAGCACTTTTGAAACATCAAATGGCATTTCAATGTCAGCTTTGAAAGGAGAGCCAGGAATATGGACTTCCTCAAAAAGAATGTTCACCAGGTATTCACCTGGTTTTGTAGGTAAGTAGGAGACTGAACATGTTCCATCTCCATTATCAGAGCACTCTATTTTGGCTTCACATGGTCCTTCTACTGTCAAACCCAGACCACCAGTTCCAGCTCCTTTGGTGTCTATTGTGAATTCTGCGGGTTTTCCAACAAGCCCTTCCCGGAGGCCTGGCCCATAAGCTCTCACCTAGAAAAATTAGTAAGAGGTGCTGAATATGATACCTACGAAGTCACTTCAGTCATTTCTAGAATTTTAAATCTAGTTCTGAAGATTCAAGTATATCCTTATATTATTTATTATTTAGAAGCACACTGCAATACCAAGCTCAAATGCCAGTTTTTATTTTTAAAAGACAATGACACATTTCCATACTTTCTAACCTAACCAGGATACTGCTATTCTTTATCATTCTGATAGGCTCATCAATTTGTTTTCAAACCAATCCATGTACACACACACACACACACACAAATAAATAATCTCATCATTTATTTAGCAGGTCTTTAAATCATGAAAGTTATTATAAGGCTTGAATGCTTAGATCATAATAAAATATGCCCAGATAAGATAAATATGCAATCATAGCAGATCCAGCTGTTTTACCTGTTTTTAAGTGACTACAACTACACTAGAAAACACTTCAACAGACACCTCAAGCTAATTTTGACCAACTGGGATGCTTTCAGCAAGAAATTTATCAGCTATGTAAACATGATGAAACTTGTGCTTTGCACACACAACTTTTAATTAGTAACAAAATCTGAAGTATCCAGCACAGGTTAGATAATTTCTGTACACCATAGCTAAAGGGAACACTTGAAAATGGTATCAGTGAATTGCTACCCATAAAAAAGATTCTTACCTTAGAAGGATCTGGTGGTAAAGTGGCTTCTACAGTATAAGGGCTTCCCAGGACTGGATTCCCATCATAATTCACATCAATGGCATGAAGTCCTTCTTCTTTTGGAATATACTTTACACTACTACACTCTTTTCCAATGACAGGTTCTACTAAGCATGGTAAAATTTTCTGGGTTGGGGAGACTATGGCCACATCAAGTTTACCCTGCCCACCAGCTCCTTTCGTGTCAATGAGAAATTCTTGATCTTTCCCTACTTCGGCTCCTTTAGAAAATAAAGAAAACAGAGTGAAAATGGGCCTCTTTCCACCAGATGTATGGAAAATCCATCAATGGAATGAGGAACAGACATACACACACATAAAGGGATAAGCTATACATCAAAGCACATATTCGGTGTATCTAAATAATTCACTCAACAAGCCAATTCCAAAGGAACACTCAATTAGGTAGTACAGAGACATACCATACTTTGTTAGGACACAGGCATTTGAATACACTAAGGATGTGTTCTGCATATAAGTTAAGATTTCCCTGAAGAAGCTAAGATGGCAGATCTAAAGTACTTAAAGAGCCTCAGAAAATAAATACCGTCAGGTATTTAGAGCTATTTTAAAAGGTACTTAATGTAATTAAAGTCAGCAAGACTTTAGCTATATTAATGTGTGGTGACAAAAACAGTACCCTCTCTGGAAATTCAGTATACAGACAACTTTGATCAAATAGTGTATGTACTTAACTTCCTAAAGATCAATGGGTAGGAATTCTTTTTAAAAAAAGTTTCCCATCTTTCAATGCTTTATTGTAGTAGGGCAAAATTGACTCTTAAAGTTTTTAGTTTGTTTTACTATTATTGCTGTTAACTTCACAATCAGCAGGTCTTTGCACTCAAACTATGCTTTATAATACTTGGAAGTATTATAAAGGAAGTGTGTTTTCAACACATTTTAATTAATTAATTAATATTTATCTATTTTAATCAATATTTATTCTATTTTTACTATAAACCACCCAGAGTCACCCCACAGTGAGATGGGTGGTAACAAATTTGAAATATAAATAATATAAATATAAATAAAGTATTTCCTTTTCAGTATGATAAGGAACGCTACAAAACATGTTGCATAGCTTAGATCTACATATTAAGTCTACAGCATCTCATCCTTCATTTTAGAAGAGTTTGTTCAGTGGTTAGGTTTTTCATATGTGTTCTATTAGAAAGTGAACACTAGATGAGTTACTTACTGCTTTCCAGGCCACTGATTTTAACTTTACTCAAGTCAAGTGGTGCAGCAACACCCACAGTGAAAGGACTTCCAGGAACAGGATCACCACCATACTTCACCTGAATGTTCATGTTACCCTAGAGAGGTCAAGTACATTTTTAAATTAATTTCAAATATCAATACTAAGAAATCCAGCAAACATCATAATAAATTAACATGTGAAGATGAACATTTCCAGAAGTCATGCAGGTAGTTGCTTACTTCCAGATTTCTACTGAAGAATCTTTCATAGTATATACAAACACAGCTATAAGAATAACAAAACAGAAACACTGAGCAATACAATAGTATTAATTATCAGCAGATTGAGTGGGGTTTTTTTTCAAAAATGTGAAAGATGCTGTTTGCCCCTTTGAATTTTAATCATTTGTACTATAATAAAACCATCTTTGTATCCATGTATTCGTGTAAGATTCAAATTTCTGAAACCTGACAGATTATAATCTATTTAAGATTTTATGCTAATTATATCTGCACATCCCAGTAGGCCAGGTTCGACCCCTCTGGTCTACACATAATTTGGTTACCATCTACTTTCTTGGTTCTCATTCACCCACCATCATTTTGTGTACTGCAGTTTCAGCGGCACCTATGACTACCACCCATAACAGAAAGGCAACTGCACTGTTGTTTCTGTGTTGCAATTAAGCGCTTAGAAAGAAGAAGTGTTGCGTGCCTAGAAACTGCCATTTAGCTGTGTGCAATATTTTCACAGGGTACAAGATTAATGCATCCAGGACTTCCCTTTTCTCTATTTCTTTAATATTAATACATTCACTAATATTCCACAAACTTAGTAGAAGCTGATACAGAATAAATACATTGACTTTTTTTTTTTCAACAAAGTTACTTGGGCAAGGGCCAGAACAGCACAACAAGAGAACTCCTTGTAACCAAGGTGTGTATCATAAGACAGTTCTGGAAATTAATTCCTTGGGAATGGAAGTTATATTTTCACAGGGCTAGACACAGCTTAATGTTTAATAAGTAGCATTTCTCACTGCGGTATTTACAAATCTGACAGAGCAAGGACTATTTTGTTTGCCTACTTCACCCTTTAACCTGTTTTTTTTTCCCCTCCCCATTCAGAACCCTTTCCAGAAATACAGAAATATATATCATGCACTGTTTAAACAAGACAGCATTATGCAAAACTGTCACTAGCTACTGTTCAGTTTTCAATCCATGACAGAATGCCATTATTCAATCTCCTTTAATCTTTGCTGCCTTGTTTAAGGACACTTCTACACAGCCACCATTTCCATTTCTAAATCACAGAATTATGGAGTTGGAAGGGACCCCAAGGATCATTTAGTCCAATCCTCTGCAATGTGTGGCAGTAAAAGTACTCTAAACTAGGAGCCTAAGATAATTCTCATGCTCCTAATATATAGAAGATTTGGGGGTATAGTATAGAAAGCAGGTGGGCCACTTCCCATGAAGCATCCTGCATTTAATAACTAGCACTTCAGGACAAAACGGCTCCTGTAGCTTTACCCCAAGTTTAAGATATGCAAAGAGCTTAGGGATTCAATTTGGTGCAACTTAGAAGTTCTGTTTTTCATAAATTTAAAATAATATGAATTACTGTATAATAATAATACCTGTTCAGAAAGCCAAGCCTTTTTGTAAACCAATTAATCATGATATACACTAATAGAGCAGCTCAACTGTTTTATATATTCTTATTATTATTATTATGCTCTATTGGTGTGTATCATGGATTAATTGGCAATTACTGTATAATAATAATAACTGTTCAGAAAGCCAAGCCTTTTTGTAAACCAATTAATCATGATATACACTAATAGAGCAGCTCAACTGTTTTATATATTATTATTATTATTATTATGCTCTATTGGTGTGTATCATGGATTAATTGGCTTACAAAAAGGCTTGCCTTTCTGAGTAGTAAGCAAACCAGGAATTGTTAACTGCTTCCAAAAGACAGATTTGACAAGTCAACCATACTTTGAAGACAGTTCCTCAAATATACGCTACACCTGCAGACATGCAAGTTGCCAGAGTTTCTACAAAGAAACACTGTTCAGAAGTCAAATTCCATTTCCACTTACAACAGCAGCACGCCTAAGATAAAGTTGGCATCAAGGTTTATGCTAGCAAGATCCAACTAAAGCAAAGACATCACTGAATCTAGTTACTCCAAACTACAGGCATTTAAAAATTGCTGGGGTCAGCAAGATAGCCTAGAGATCATACCAATATACAAAATATGTAAGTTTACTTTGGAAACGGTCTCTGCCAACAATCACCCTTACTGTCCCTCAGCACAGAACTAAATGACAGTTCTTCTAAAGAGCAGAATTACACCAACATGTGTACATTCCAGTTCAGGATGAACAGTAATCTTCAGTTTTGCTTTGCTGCTTGCTTGACGATGTCTCGGCGCCAATAGTAACATTGCACACTGTTAGAGACACATGCTAATTGGAAACTATGACTTAAATCCCTATAAACAAATCTTAGCTAGATTTGGAGTTTAAAATATAACATATTAAATATGAAACAGCTTTCAGAGCATTGTTTAATAAAAAAATGTGTAAGAAACTTGCTGTGTACAAGAGAGATATCTGTAACTTATTGCACTAACACATTTTATTTGCAATGACAGCACTGCCTCTGATTTCTTGAATTAAGGAAATGTATGCCAGATTCCTATCCTTTCATAGGAGAATTTACCTGCTGTATTGGAGTGTATTTTACAGTGTGGGAATAATCATAGTTGTCAATGAAGTCCAAATCTTTGACAGCATCTCCTTCCATTGGCCCACTGAACTGAACATCCAGAGGGGCTTTTCCAGCACCTTTTGTGAACACAGTGAAGTGCGTGGGCTTCCCATTTTCCACACCTGGGTAGATAAAGGAGTGGAATCCATCATCATCTTGTCAAGACATGTTCAGGGGAAAAAAGTGCAATCCCTTTTTGGATAGAATACTACAAATACCAAATATAATTTTTCATACTCCAGATTTACTTTTCTAGCATTCATTTATGGGCCTTGACAAGGAATTGTATTTCATTATGAATGCAACCAGCAAACAGCTAATTAAATAGTTTGCCCACTAATCAGGCAGAAATCTTACCTGTTTTACTTAGTCCAGGCCCTTCAGCTTTCACCTTGCTTGCATCATGTGAGGGTTCTACTTTCACTCTGAAAGGGCTTGTAGGAATTTCCTTAAGATAAAAAAAAAAAAAATAATAATACATGTAGTAGCTTTTCAACAAAATCACCATACAGTAGAAAGATCCTGAGGCTAGAATAGTAAAGAAACATTATCCCTGTACGTACTGTCCCTTGCATACAGTTGCTCTCTAAATTACTAGATTTCTAAATTATTGCTTTCCCTGTAAACAAACCCCCCAAAAAATGAAAATAATATTTGTTTGCAGCACAAGGACTATTTGTTTTAAATGTCACGCTTTGGATCAAATGAGCCATTTCTGAATACCCAGGAGGTTAAAACAAACTAATCCTCTACTATAGCATTTTTTTCTAGGAGCTCAGACCAGTCTTTCTCCTGTTTAATCTTAAGGCCATCCAAGCTTATTATACCCATTTAAATTAAACAAAAGTCACTGTGATCTACTCTTTAAGTATAAGGAGTAGGAATGGTGCTTTGAATTTCAGTATTCTTATTTTTTTCGGTTTAAAGGAGATGCTTGGCTTAGTTGAAGCAAAAAACTTCTTTTTTTCAAAATCCTTTTCTAAATCCAAAGCCAGAGAACAAAGGATATTTTAAGGTCCAAGCATACTATATTTCATGGCTGGTGTGGGTCTTCCGGGCTGTGTGG